TCCTGCTGATCCCAGAGGACCCTGTGGTTTAATATGGAGAGTTTGAATGACTGGTTCATGTCAAACAGCAAGCCTGTGGCACATGGGACTGCCAGAGTCCCACTTCAATGTCTGCACCCAAAGCACTCCTTCACTCTGCAGAGACCCTCAGTTCCATGGCTATGGTACGAAAGTGGTGACAGGCAGCAGATTTTCAAACTTCTTCATTCTTTAACTTGTTTGGTTTTTTAATTATTGATTGTCAAAATAATTACAGCGTACAATATTTACTTTAGAATCAAATGATCTTTTGTGCTTTCCAGTTTTCTTAAAGGTGGCTCTCACGAACAGATTGTGTACTAGCACAACTCCTACGTTTCCAAGGTATGGTTAACCCAGGGCCAGTGCTGAAATGCTGAACACTGAACACAACATGGGCAAACCACCTCATCCTGTTACGTTTCCTCTGCACTGTGTTGCCCACCGTGGCTGCCCATTGGGATATTTCTGCACAAAGAATAAGAGCTTTCTGTACCCAGGCTCCTGGGTCGGAGCAAGCCATTTATATCATGACATTTCAGTCCATACGAATGTGTTCTTGAGAACACTAAATTAATTCATGTCTTGGGGCACCATAAAATACTTCATGTAAGGACCTTTACCTTACTTTTTAAGTAATGGCATCAAGGGCAGAAAATGTGAAGATACTGCTTCAGGTATCAGAAGGCATCAGATCTGTCAGTCTAGAGACTATTGACAAATACAGATTGTGCCTACATCAATCTACTGTCAGTTTTCCCTAAATTAAAGTTGTAAATCATTACTAAATGGCAAGAATACCTTCCTTCGGACAATGTGCATAAATTGAGGCCCAGTCACTTAAAAAAAAAATCAAATCCTTGAGTCTACTTTTCAAAACACAATATGGGCCATATCCATATATACATATACGTGGATAAATACTACACTATAATCACACTGATGACATAGATCTGTGTGAATGCAGAGAAAAGGACAAACCTTTAACTCAGACTAAGTAATGAACAGACGTAAGACTAAGAAACAATTTAATAGTTTAAGCCATCGGCAACATCTTGTGAAATGTGTAAATACTGTACAGCACTGCCAGAGAGCAACGGCATCAAGCTGCGTAACGGGAGAGACTTCTTCAGCAAGTTCACTGCAGGCCGTCCTTCCTTCCTATGTCACAGAAGCTCGATAAGTCATCTGAGAACAAATGTCTCAAAGCGGATTGTTTCCTCCCCAAAATACTCTTGACTTACAAATGAAAACAGAGCAGCATATTTTGCAGCCTGGGTTGCGCTCATTGTCAGCTGTAGAGCGTTGTTTGGTGTGGAGTATTTAAATATTCAGTAAAATGTGAGCCGTAAATGTTTTTCAGGTTTTCTAGTCAAATAAACCTAACTATTCTGGAGTTTCTTTGTTGTTTGGGAAATAATTAACAGCAGAGTAATTATCATTCAATCCAAACTTTTATTGGTGAAATGATCCAGCTTGCAAAGCGGATCTGTGACTGACCCTGCCGGTGCACGCAGCGGGTCCCGCCAGACAAAGGCCACTGCTGCCATCTGCTGAGGAAGAGAGGAAACGGGGCGGAAAGGGCCCAGGGGCAGAACTCCTCTCCTGCGGGCCGCTTCAGGGAGAACCCCCTGCCGAGGTGCCGCCAGCAAGCCCAGCTCCCCACGATCCACAAGGCCAAAAACTTCAATACACACAACTTTTTCTTCAGCTCATCCTAAAACACAACTGAAAGAACGACGGAGCCCAGCTGCTGTCACAGCCTCCATGCCCCCAGGTGTCGTGTGTCCAGCCGCAGGAACGATGCGACCGCTTTCCAGGGTGAAACTTTCCTGTCACGACCAGCGGTAACGCCCGCGTTTCTGATGCCGCGGAGGCATTCCCTGCCATAGGATCACCGCGCACCACAGGACGACGGCTGTGCAACTCGGTGGTTATCACCTCAGGGCCGCGTTGGCAGGTCCCGATCGATGCATGTCCCTTCGGAGCAGCCCGGGGACACCCAGACCCCAGCGCCCGCCTCCAAACTCCGTCCCAGAGCGGCGGGGAAGTCCCCGAGGGGGACCCCAGGCCTGCAAGCGCCG